GGGGTCTGGGCAAAATGTAGGGTCAGGGAAGGGGACCTGTACAGAGAGCAGTAGAAACACACAACATTAGAACGGGGCTTCAAGTAGCATGATTGTTCTAACCCCCCGTTCCAACACACCAAATCAACTGGGTCTTGAGCCTTTCCAAGAGCAAGCATTAATCACGGTTATTTCTCTGCTTGGCAAAGAGATGAGGGTTCATCTTCTCTCGCTTTGAGTGATATCTTGAGACTTGTCATTAACTCTGCTGCAGTGATGGACAACCTCTGCAGCTCCAGGCATTATAGTGGCAACTTGCCAATAGCCCAGGGGCCGCATACGATTTGCATAGATATTTACATAATTCTCCATACCTTTGTTCCAGTTGAAGCGAATGCAGGTATTAACTTAGATTCCCATGCAATTACCCTTCCCTTATTTGTAAGGGCACAGGATCACTTTCTCTCTTATCCCTGCTGGGTGTAACCCTTGACCACCCAGCCAAAGTGCACCACTTTCAGCTCACGGAAGCCCTTTTTCGAGGGCTTTGTGCTGCTCTCTGCACCACAGGGAATTCCCGCCTCTGGAGAATCAGGAGGAGCATGGCCGTGAGCGGAAGTGACATGTCAGCCCCAAGAGGGACAGCTAGACCGGAGCTATTTTATTATCTGTAGAGATGAGCTCACAGGTTGTGGGATGCACAGGGTCATTTTAAGGACAAGCAAAGTGGTTGGGAGAAAATAAATTCCAGCCCGTATATTGAACAAGCCAGGAATCTCTGCTGTGGGGGAGTTTGGAAACACGCAGCCAGCAGGTCCCCACCCCACACACACATTCCCTATCCCCAACGCACTATCTGGGTTGAAACTTCCGGTGATGTTTCATGAGGTCTTGCAATTTCTTCTGGGCTGTCTGCTGGCCAAGTCCTGTGATCCTCTAGTATCACTCCCGACAAGACTCCTCAGGGCACTAGGGATGTACGCGACTAGTCGACTATCCGATAAGCAAATGCTTATCGGATAGCCTGAGCTCCCGGTAAGCAGCACACCTCTCGAGATTCCAGGTCCGGACGGCAGAGGGATGGCTCAGTCCCTCTTAGAAGGGAGACCCTAACCACCACCACCCGTCGTTTTCTTTTCTGCGCTGTACCTCCGATAACAATCTCTTGAATACTGATTACTTTTTTTTCCCCCCAACACAAAGCGACCAACACAAGTTGGTCTTTAACCCTTTATCTTTAGCAACCGCGGAACTCCCATCCGTAGGACTATGCATCCCATGCCTTCCAGTAGATGGTGTTCCCTTCTGGTTTCTTCCTTGTGAGGTTCCTTCCAGGGCTTTCAGCACTGCAGAGCCTGTGGAGAGAGCTTGAAAGCGATTACTTACCTCTATAGCATCGGGGGATTCCCGTGCTGGCCTTTTTCCCCATCTAGAAGTTACATGCTGCCAGTTCTGTTCTTGGTCACATACTGCCCTCTCTGGCTCTTCTGCCTGCCGTGCTTGAAGGATTAAATGCTGCCTTCTATCAAGGAAGTCTTCATCCTCTCTGATCAAGCGTAGGGTCGACACTTGGGCCTCCAGTCCTCTAATTTTTTCTTCCAAAATGTCGACCAGCTCGCACTTGGTGCAGATAAAATCCGTTCTTTCTTCCGGGAGGAAGACAAACATGGCACACGCTGGGCAGGTAACAACAGCAGACCCATCACCAACCATCGCTGCTGTCCTGGAAAAGGGATTTAAAAAGAAAGGCAAGAGTTTGTGTGGGGGATGACCACTGCTGCCATCCTGCACTGTGCTTCCCAATAATTCCACAGTGTAAGTTGCTGGGGGGGAGGGGGGGGGAATTCAGGCAAGTGCACAGGAAGGAGAAGGGACAGAGCAAGAGCAGGGCATGGGAGAGGGGGTGAAGTGGGTAGGGGCAGAGGTGGGGTAGGACCTGCTCCTGGGATGCTGGGAGAGGTTGCCTCAGGCCTTGTGCACCTTAGGGACAGACCTGACTGTAGGACAGTATATAAGTGCGAGTCTGTGTGGAAGGCAGCCAGACTTTTCCAGCTATGCTCCTCAAGTGCAGAGTTGTTAGCTAGCTAGCAGCACTGAATAGTCAAGAAGAGCTGTGTTTCTGATCAGGTTGAATCAGCAACCAGGACTGAGAACAACTGTTCAAAATAATTTTTGAAAATTGTTTCAGGATCCCATGTAAGCATAAAGGCTGTTTATTTGCAACAACGTCAGAGGCATCTGTTAGTACTTTTAGCAGCAGTGCTGCAACTAAACATATTTCAGACAACTAAGTGTCAGTAGCAAGCAAAAGATTTCAATCATCCAATAAAACCACCATCATGAATCGGTTTGTAATAAAGACCGGCCAATAGCAAGAAGACTCCATAGATGAAAAGGCTGTTCAGTTCATTTATACCAAATTCTCCTTTTTGCATTGTTAACAATAAACACCTTCATTGACATGGTTGAGTCCTTATGACCAGGCTAACTCCACTGGGTAGAGCAGACATTGGTGGAAGATTGCCAGATACAGTGAATCAGAAGGAACTTTAACAGTGTGCAAGAAATACAAAGGGAAAATTTGCCAGCTTGATGGGTGGTGCAATATACACAATGATCCAATAATTTGTGCCTGTGTGACAAGAGAAGATGGGGTTGCATATCTATCAGAAACAATAGATACATTGGGAAATGCATACAACAGAATATTTAAAAGAAACGGCAGGGAGCAAAAGTCAACTGTCACGTGCAGTTTTATCACAAACAATTCTGCAAACATGGCAAAGTTGAGAAGATACTTCGAAGAAAAAAATGGAAGGATGCTCCATAGTAATACATTGTTTTGAACAATTTATCAAAAATTGGCCTATTCTCATATAATGGGAAGAAAACTGTGATTAAATAGATGGCAGTATCTCATCCAAAGTATCTAACAGTGGCTCAAAGAGGAACGTAGAGGATAGGCTCAGTATACTGACACCTATTATCCATAGCCTTACACTACTTCAGAGGAATTGCTGCTGCATTGCTGATGCTGTCCAAATTTGGAAAGCACTTCAAGAGATATTGACGAAAGAAATATCTCACCAGAAAGTTAAAACTACAGGCACACAAGAAGCAAATGGATCAAACACTACTCCACCTAATTTTCTTGTGAACATTCTTAACCCCAGATATAAAGACAGACGGCTAACTTCTGAAGATGATGATGCTGCAATGGCATAGACATCTCTGTGTGATTACTCCTCAGTTATTCCAGTCATAATAAATTTCAGTGTTGGAGCGAAAGCATATAATCAGTAAAAGTTTACTGATGATATTTTGAATAAAGTCACTCTCCTGAATTGGTGGGAATCATTAGCCAGGCACCTTGAAACAGAGTTCCTTCAGTTGCTAAGCCAACTTTTCACAGCAGTAGCTTCCTCTTCAGACACAGAGAGAATATTCTCATAGTTTGGTATTTTTCACATAAATCGAATAGACCGGGAGCTGAAAAAGCAGTAAAACTTATATTTCTGTTTCAATCTATCAATCAGAATGACAGTGGGAGTGGGGATGATAAGAACTAATAGAAGTTTTAAGACTACTGCACATGTAGTGTTCTGTTAGGCCTCATCTATACTAGACCAGACAGATTGGTTTGAAGTGTGCGACTCCAGCTATGCAAAACGGAGTTGACTTACCTTAAGCCAAGCCGTGGCAGCATCCACACAGCAGGAGGCCAATGGGAACATGAGCTTCCATCAGCTTCCTTTGCTCCTTGCGGAATCAGGAGTATCAGATGCCAGCAGGGCCTGCCCTCAGCATTCAATTTAGGGGTCTATATTAGACCTGCTAAACTGAATACTAGAAGATTGACCTCTGGAGGCTCGATCTTCTCGCTAGTGTAGACATGTCCTCAGAGTTAATAAAATTTGAAAATGTAAAAAAAAGTGTAAGGACAGCCATCAACTGGCAATCAGGAAACTGCTACTTCACAAATGTGAAACATTTATGTAACATTTAAGATTTAGTTTAATAAAATATTAATGTAATTGTATTTGTGTGATTTAGTTCTTACCATTCCTAATGTACTGCTGCTGCATTTGGAGCTTGACACAGCTAATGAATATTATGGACTATTTCTTAAATTGATAAAAATCAAGTTATCTAAAAAAAGGTTCACAACAAATACCCTCTTTACATGTTGTAAAATACTGCACGGAGTTGTAAATTAACATGTTTTAGTGACCAGATTTGCACTGTTGTTTTAGAAATATGTGAAGGAGTATCAGTGGGAAACTTGATTTAAATCAATTAATTTTGTATGTGATTTAAATTGCCATTTAAATCAATCCACTCTGCTGTGGTGCTGATGCTAGTGAGCTGAAGAAGAGCTCTTAGCCAGAGGCAGAAAAAAGCAGCCCCTGCCAGCCAGCAGCAAGTCAGAGGGAACCATTGCCAGGAGAATTAGCCTCTCCACCTCTGACCCAGGAACGGTAGACTCCCTCAAGCTACAGAGGCAGCGGGGGGGGGGGGGAGAGAGAGAAATGCCAGTACTGTAGTCAACTTGCTCATTTACATCCCTAACACATTGCCCAGTAGGCTGGCAATTCTGTCAGCTCCCGCTGCCTGAAATGATTGGGGGGGGAACAGGACAGTGAATCAAAAAAACCCAAAACATTTGCCCAGCTCTATTTGTAAAACTACACGTAATATTACCACCTAGTGACTTCTGCCATAACAGAATGTTATATTAACTGTTTATAAAAAAAAAAAAAAAAAAACCTTTTTAGTACAGTAATTCCAGGCTTTTCAAATAATATTGCCTAAAGACAAGGAGTGAAAAAAATTCTGCTCCTAGTTTCTACCCCAGTGTAAATCCAGAGTTAGACCAATACAACATCTGGATCAGTGTACACTAGTAGTTTAATTTTAAATTGATTATTAAAAAATATTTGTGTTTAAATAACACAGTTTCTAAGAAAGTACATTGGAACCAGAAATCCTAGCCTGTGTAACACAATATTTTTACTCCATAGGGACCGATTCAGAACAATGGTAAATGTCCTCGGAGATGCCTTTGGTGCAGGAATTGTGGAGAAGCTCTCAAAAAAAGAGCTAGAGCAGATGGGTGGCTCTTCTGAAGTCAACATAGTCAATCCTTTTGCCTTGGAAACATCAGCACTTGGTAATGAAGGAGGAGGAACCAAGAAATCCTATGTCAATGGAGGTTTTGCCGTAGATAAATCTGACGCCATATCATTCACCCAGACATCAAAGTTCTAAAGCCTACAGCTTCCAATGGCACTGAAGGAGCAGTGAAGGACACCACCATATGTGAGATCTTTTAGCAAGCTAAAGAATAATTAAGAAAGAGCTAATAACAAACTTGAGTAGATTTGATTAGATTTGATTGTTTTTTTCCCCACTGTTTGGAGTCTCAACATTTTGTCCCTGTGAGCAAGTTGATGGGAAGGCAAGTTGTAAAATATGTAATTTTTTAATCCTGTAAGATGGATGAGGCTTTTGAATGGCTCTTTGAAATCATCTTGCTCATAAGCTGGATGCTAGAACCAGACCAGTGAAGCAAAGCAAATGTGCTTCTCTAAAGCAGACTGCACTGTTTTACATCTCTCTTCGGTTCTGCTACTCTGTATGGAATTCTTGTTGATATTTTTGTCTTTCACATTTTTAAAAATTGCATCTAGACCATCTTCTGTAACTTGATAATGTGCCAAATTGCTCACTTCTGCAGCTTGAACAACACATAGGGAAAACAGTTTCAAAGGAAAACAGACCTTAAGCATTCTGCAAAAACTGTTTTACCACTTGAGGTTTTATGTTGCTTTTATTTTAAACATTCAGGATGCTGGAACTTACTGGTCAAGGAAGAGCTTCTAATGTTATGCTGTTGAAATTTTTTCCCCTATGAATGCCACCAGAGAGTATTCGTATGTGAAGCCTATACAGGTTTGCTCCTCTTATTTTTGAATAAATTATTGTAAAGTGAAACTCTCTGCCAACTTAGGTCTTCCTTGATAGTTTATTAATACATCACCATTGGAAGATGCAAGAAGCTAGCTTCAGTATTGTCCATCTTTTATATTAGCCTAGTTCTTCTCGGCTCCAGGACAGGCGGAGTAATGAAGATGAAAATAGCTAATCATAGGTGACTTCCAAATCTTTTCTTCTTGGAAAAAATGACATAAAATCAAGTGTAGATGAGGCACTCCTTTTTCTAGAGACATGCTACTGGCTAGCTAAGCTTTACACAACTAGTTGGTTTGTTTGCTCCTTGTTTTCATTTCTTGGTTAAACATGTGTAATTTTGCAGCTGCAAAACCCCTAAATCCCACCATTTCAGTGCCAAGTTCTACCAGATAAGTCATACTATTTTATCAAAGTTTCTGAACTAAGGAAGCCATGTGTTCTATTGACTTGTGACAATATCACCACGGGCTTCTTCATAAATACATTCCATAGTGTCAAACATTCTATGCAGTGCTGGATTCAGTATTTCCATGGTGCAAAATGATTCCCTGAGGGAGGAATCTCTGTTAAGAACAAACCGTTTGCCTTGAACATCTCCGTCATGTTGACCATCCTACTTGCAAAGCAAATTGAAATTCATACCCCAGAGTTTCTTTTTCTTAAATATACTTTAGTAAACATAAAATTGTATTTCCATGGTGTCAGAAATACGCAAATTCCTGGATTATTAGATAGTAAATTCAATCCTACACTTTTCTATTTAAGTGAACTGGGCTCTTAAATTATGTCAGTGAGGAGGGCTGCTGACAGGGCCCAGCAATTGAAAGGGCTGCTACGAGGGAAGTAGTGGTGACCAAAACCCCATGCCCTTTAAATTGATGCCAGAGCCCCATGCGGCACAGTCCAGACAACAATAAGGGCTGTCTGGGGGAGACAGAGTGCAGTCTTTAGCCCCACCCTTTCTCCCTATGGCCCCCCCACACACACATTGCCCAGGGCCCAGCGAAATCTGTCACCAGCCCTGTTAGCAAAACATAAGACTATGTATCTAAAATAAACATTGTAAAATATAACAGTGTGACTCTCAAGTAAAAGTACTGATATGTTTATACAAAATAAAAGCATGTACAAACTAAGTAAATCAATACTTTACTTGTGCAGAACTAGTATAAAAATATCTTTGTTTGTACAGCTTTGTTAATAGGACAAAAAGCCCACCAGTTCCATAGTTGTCTATACTATGCTTTGCCCTTTTTAAAAAATCTTTTCTGTAACCCGTTTCTTATAGGGCACAATGTGATCTAATTAAATATTTCTTTCTTTCATCCTTTCTCTGTCGTACCATCCACACTTCATCCTTCCGTGGAATTCTGGTTTTCTGCTGTTATGGCAGGAAAAACCCAATGAACTGCTTTGACACTGCATTGCTTTCACTAGTGATACATTTGCAGTTTTACTGTGTACGGATTACCCTTTTCACTATGGAAAGGAGACTATTCCCTCAGGGGCCCAATCTTAAAACTGCAAGCAAATCTTTTACCTGCAGAGGGAATAGGGGAAAGAATCCTCCTATCCAACACATGATTTAGCACTAAGGAACCTGTGTAGCCAACCTGCAAGCTGATATTGCTAGATAGGAGGAGCTGCAGCACCAGACAATCTACCTATATATTGATGATATTGTTAAATCCAGGGATGCCAATCCTCATATGTAGTTGTGGCCACATAGCAGCTTAGGGTGTGACCCACCAAGTTTGATTCAAACACTTGCTTTCTCCCTCCAGAAATCATTTTCCTTGCATGCAGTTCTGGATTCTGTCTTCTAGGGAGCTCCACAGATCTGGCCTCATACACAAGGGCTGTGTCTACACTGGGCCACTTATTCCGGAAAATCAGCCGCTTTTCCGGAATAAGCTGCGAGCTGTCTACACTGGCCCTTGAATTTCCGGAAAAGCAACGATGCTCTACTGTACAAAATCAGCCGCTATTGCGGAAAAACTATTCTGCTCCCGCTCGGGCATAAGTCCTTATTCCGGAACACTGTTCCGGAAAATGGCCAGTGTAGACAGCCCAGTAGTCTTTTCCGGAAAAAAGCCCCGATCGCGAAAATGGCGATCGGGGCTCTTTTCCAGAAAAGCACGTCTACATTGGCCACAGACGCTTTTCCGGAAAAAGGGCTTTTCCGGAAAAGCAGCCTGCCAATGTAGATGCTCCTTTTCCGGAAAAACTGAAAACAGAATAGTGTAGACACATGCCAGTGTAGACACAGCCAAGGGGAAAAGAATGTTACTGCTGCTTTAGGCCCTTTTGCAGCTGGGCAAACAACTTCTGGATTGGACCCAACATTTTATAAGTGGCACACACGGTTTTAACCATGAAATTTCCTCTGAAATCTGTGGGAGTCTCTTGTTCAAAATCATTCATAACTCTTAAAATCCTTCACACCGGATTGTCCAAATTTAGTGACACTAGGGCTACGTCTACATTGGCCCCTTTTCCGGAAAGGGCATGTTAATTTCACTAGTCGTAATAGGGAAATCCGCGGGGGATTTAAATATCCCCCGCGGCATTTAAATAAAAATGTCCACCGCTTTTTTCCGGCTTTTAGAAAAGCCGGAAAAGAGCGTCTACACTGGCCCCGATCCTCCGGAAAAAGTGCCCTTTTCCGGAGGATCTTATTCCTACTTTGAAGGGCGCTTT